AATTCGCGCACGTTTTATGGATAATTCATCTACTGAGAAAAACCCACTCGATTTCCTGATGTATGATAATTGGTGAATTAGATTTGCTTCAGTGATTCGCTCACTATTCAATCGTCGATTGCTGCTTCACTCCACGGCATCCCCTGTCATGGGTTCAAAGAAAAAATGCGCTAGTGATTAAAATATTGTTCTGATCAATTTCGAAAAACGAGCATTTTTCCTACTTGTTCGTGAATAGATATGTATATAATAATGTGTCCGCTGTCTTTTTCTGTTCTGCACATAAAGTTTGTACATTTGATGAACATATGAGCACATTATTTTTTATGTACACAGTTGCGCCCAATTTTCCAAGTTTTCTCTTCTATTATCTATGACAGTATGCTCTACGTTGAATCAGTTTACTTACAGCAGTAAAGCATTATATCATTCCCTTGTTGGCCTCTTATCTTGGTGACTGTTACAGTACTTTCAAAATAACAGTTAATCCTCATAGTTAAAAAGATCTGGTGCAGCACTTGTTACATATGGCTTCCTTTTAGATTCAGAGAAATTATCAAAATGTGAGATCAAATCTTCTATTCCTTAATAACATCCATAGCTATTTATGTGTGTTATTACATTTTACAATGACATTGGTGGGAAAACATCACCTGCAAGATTTAAATACAATACCAACCGCGTTCCGCTTTCTATGCGATACTGCGACTGTCAAAACGGAGCAAGGTAGGTCCGTAATGTCAGTCTGTCGCAAATAAATGTATTTTTAAGCAAAGAATTAAAGACATTTCTTATTGCCACAAGGGCACTGTCCTTTTGCTTTCTGGAGCTTATGGGGACCATTTAGACAATCAATGACTCTATGACATTTGAGCATCTGCAACGCATCTCTGAAGTGGGGCGAACAGTAAAATGACATGGAGCATCTTTGGAAAATCAAAAGGTACCCCTGCCTGAGAATTTAACTTTGTGCATGAAAAATGCAATTTTCGGTTGGTTCGACAGCCAGAGACTGCATGCAAATTATGAGCCATATGTCGTAAGTAAAAATAGACGCAAGAAAACGAATGGATGTATTTGATCACAAAAAAATATGCCAGATCGAAAAGACTGGCTTAGAAAAGGCACATTGTGGCACAGCAAAACAGGCCATCGTTTGAATCAGGTATATAGAAATGTTAGACTGGGCTCCATGAGGCAACAAACTGTCTGGAAAGACCTCTAGAGTGACAGGGCTGAAGCAAAGTTTGAGCAACATGAATAAGAGTCGTGGCATTCATTTTCGAAGCTCATCATTTATGTCTATTGAAGAAATCAGCTTGAGCCATTTGCACATGCAGAACGTTTCTAGTACGGTGATACCCACCGTACTGACAGCCTGGCGACACTTTTGCAATAAGACAGCGGCTACCACATCGTAGAAAAATATCTGCAATGCGCATAATCAAACTGCTTCGCTTAACCCAATTTCATAACTCCGCTGTTACCGGTCCCAAGCCTAGATGAGGAAGAAGAACGGTTGAGGACCATGGCAATGTCTCCAGTAAAACATGGCAACTTGCCCCCCCCCCTCCGTCCATAGTACTGTAGTTGTTAAACGTTACGATGACGCGAATTACCAATGGCCGCGATGGCTGTTGGATACCAGACAGAGGTTGCGAAAACCTGGCAATCACAACCTGTTTCGCGCGTTCTGGCAGATAGAGGAGTAGCAGCACGGCGACGGCTGCTGAAGATCCACAAAAAGAATACCAAGATAGTAGCGAGAAATCGAACCGCAACCAGTTCTGAAGGATACAGAAATACAGCGCAATTACTGCACATCAGATCAGCTTCCACAGAAATCACACCGAGTTTTGCACTGCAGACTAGGAAATCATTACTCGCTCAGAGAGACAAAGCAGGATCTCGTTGACAATGCCGCAAAGTACTGACTGGGGTCCGGAAGTTCGAATCTCCGCGAGTGGAAGCTATTCTACTCTGGTGTCGATATCACGACGCGTGCCCAGGACGATATTGTTGTTCTGGTAGATCACAATCTGGCTGACAGAGTCGTTGAATGGAAGCCGGTAGGTACAAGAGCGGCAATCATCCGTCTGAAGCTACAACAGACTAAAGCGTTGATCTTGTTACAGGTCTATGCGCCTAATTTAGAGAGAGAATATGATTCCTTTCTTGAAGAAGTGCAGTGTGCTCTATCCAAAGTGCCGAACACAGAGTCCCTCATATTGATGGGCGATTTTAATGCGCATATCGGAGTAGACGCTGAAAAGTGGAATGGCGTCATTGGAAAAACGGCCCTAGCGAC